CCGCTAGAGTTCACAGTACCCCTTAAGCCCCAGACCTGCAAGGAGGGCGAGACCGTGACCTTCAAGTGCGAGGTCACCGAGTCTGACCTCCCGGCCACCTGGTTCAAGAACGGTCAGCAGCTGACCTTGAGCGACCTGGTCATCGCTGAGGTGGACGGGAAGACCCACACACTCACTCTCAAGGACACCCCACTCGACGCCAGCGCTGAGTACACAGTGAGGATTAAGGGCAAAGAGAGCACTGCTCCACTCACTGTCCAAGGTGAGTCACTGGGTGGTTGGCGGGTGCTCTGGATGGGGATAGAGGAAGGAGGGAGGGGGGGATGGACAGGTAGATAGAGGCAGAGAGAGATGAGAGAGGGAGAGAAAGAGAGAGAGAGAGAGAGAGAGAGAGAGAGAGAGAGAAAGAAGGGAGGAGGAGAGGTGGGGGTGGTGTGGGTGGAAGAAAGATACAGGTGGAGTCAAAGAGAGGGAGAGAGATGGAGTGGAGAATTTGGGGGGGGGGGTGGAATATAACCTTCCTGAGTCGTTAGAGATGCTGAGGATTTAGGAGGACAGGGTGAGGGTGGGTTTCAGTTTTAGGGGTACTAAGGAATATAATTATTGTTGCTTAAGTTTGATGAAATAATATTTGTGCCATCTTGATGAAATCGGACGCTCGTCAAATTGAAGAAATGGAAGAGACCGATGTTTTCTTTCCGCTCTGTTGCGCAATTTTTGTGAAACACTTTTAAAACACATTTCGGTGTTGATTTTAATGAAAATCAGAAAAGTATTAATTTACATTTTCAATGACGCTCAAGCTTTGAAAAAATCACCTCTAATCTTCGGCACTTATATGACCTTGTTGTGTTGCAAGTGCCGTAAAACTCTTACTTAAACTAAACTCCATACATCCCGAAACTGGGGTTACGACGAGACGTTGACAATATATAGAGCATGTTTATTTTGCAGTTGTTTTTTTTTGGACCCAAACTCGAGAACTGATCTAAATAATATAACATAGTATAGCTTTATACCTTGGACTGGCGCCTGGACTGTTTGTAGCAAAGAAAGAAAGAAAAAAAAAAAGACTGACTGAAGCCTTCAACAACTATAGTGCGGTCAAAAATTCGTGGCACAACTTATCCTCATACATCTCTATAACGGGTTAATCAAAGTCACCCATACTTTGCTCAGCAGTTTGTATCAATTTGTCTTAACTTAATCAGGGGGCTCTCGTGGCCTAGAGGTTAAGGTGTTGGCCTCTCATTCAAAGGTCCAGGGTTCGAATCCAGGTAGCGACTAAAAAATAGTCTTATCTAAAATTGTCTCCTTTCACCTCCTTTCCTGCCCTCTAGCAATGTTCTGTTGTCTGCTTTCGTTTCCACTTTCTGCCCCCACCCCCTCACCTCCTTTGCCTCCTCCTCTGGGCTCCTTACTCTTTCTGCAGCCTTTCTACTGTTACTCCTTGGCTCCTCCTTACTGCTGACTTTCTGCCACACCCCTGATCTTCTGGTAAGGAAAGATCTACACCTAACCTTCTCGGACAAGGGCGAAAAATCTCGGAGGGCACGTGTGCAAGTTGGGCACGTTAAAGATCCCTTGGTGGTCGATAAGAATAGGCTTCGGCCGCCACCCGGGCAAAATTCAAAATTTCCTACCAACTGAAAATATGAGGTGTGTCCCGCGCGCTCATATGACCTTATGCAGTTGCGAGCGCCGTAAAACACTTAACAAAAACAAAAATAACTTAATCATATTTTCCCGCAACTACAGAGGCTTGATTAAAACACTTTTTCTTCGTAAATGTATATAAAATACTACAAATCTCCTTCACGTGGAAATGTAATTGTTCAAAGCACTCCCCGCTTCTCGCACACATTTTGCATACGCATATTATGGCCTACGTCATAGCTCATCAAGTACCCATTTTAGTGGCAAAACTATTTACAAGAAATTAATTTTATAGTGAACACATTTTTTGCTCTAAAGGTTCCCTAAACATACGTTCAATAAGCATAATGTTGAGATTAGAAAAATACCTGACAGACTTGTTTTAAAAGGGTTTTGCTCGAGCTGTAAACTTATACAAATTTGTAGAAACCATCGAAAATGATTTTTTATTAGTATTTTAACAGAAATTTTCTAGAATAATGTGTGCAGGAGTTTGAAAAAAATATTCACCTGGTAAGATAAATTGGTATAAGCCATTGTGCAAAAGTTGGAGAACCTACTCGAGAACGAAGAAGAAGAAGAAGAAGAAGAAGAAGAAGAAGAAGAAGAAGAAGAAGAAGA